CTAATTCTGGTTATTTTAAGGGGTCGTGGTCCCCTTCTGGGAGCACACACACAGAACGTAAGTATCTGTCCCGTTCCTTTCTTTCTATCCCCATCAAGAGAGAAAATCAAGAGGGAAATACAGGTGCTCTTCAGGTGGAAGACCATAAGATCAATATAGTGCTCTACAAAGACATCATCGTTATGGCTAATTCAGGTACGCTTTCGCATTCAGTTTACAACATGTTTATCAGTATGAGATTATGTTTATGTTTGATCGTTAGAATCAAAATCAGGATTATTATTATTATTATTATTATTATTATTGTTTTTCCAACACTTAAAGATCTAGTACAACTCAATGCATACTCATAAGGTGGAGTTCCTAATCCTAACCATTGGAGCTTTAACTCCCTTCACAGTATTTCCACGACAATTGGTAGTCAACGGGAGGTGAGAATACGAATAAAGAGAACAACTCTAGTTCGGGTTTTCACGATAGCCAAATAGAAAATACATCCTAAATGACATTGTTACACAATTCCTATATTTCTATGTTTACTCAAACCTGGGTATAAAGCCCCACTCAATATGGAATGCATAAGTGTGTGTGTGTGAAGGTAGGACATGCATACCCAAACCCCTCACCTGTAAAACAATAAAAAGAAAAAAACCTAGACAGGTATAACAAATATTGTCTACCTAAGGGTTCAATGATTCAACAATTTTATTAACAATAATAATAAAACAATAGATTCAAATAACACAAGAAATAAAAGACAAGAGGAAACAAATCACACTTTACTCTCTAACCTATCACCAGTGGAGTCACTATTTGACGCATCGGGATCACGATTGGACGACAAAGGGATTAAAAAAAATGAAATGGAGTCACCACTATAGTTTATTATGGAAAACTATAGAAAAACATTTTAAATGAAAATGGTCTCGAAACCAAATTTGGGTTCGGTAGTCGATTATGCGTATGAAATATATTAACACCCTACAACGTTTGTCCTAAGACGATTACCCTTTGATGAATGTGCGAAACAAATATTATTTTTAAAATATTTATTTTCCCTTCAAATCAGACAAAAAAATAAAAAGTTAAAGAAAAAACATTTTATTTTTATTTTTTTTGGGTCCGACAATGATTGATCTTGCTCCTATGTATTTCCATTGGCAATGAAAAATCAAGATTACGTAGTTCTTTGTAGAAAAAAGTTTGCTAAGTTGGATTAATGCTTTGAATTTTTTTTGGTATTTTTAAAAGAAATTTGTATTTTTTTGAAGGGGTTACAAAGTGTGAGACGATGTAGACGACCGTAATAATACAGTTGCGAAAGAAAATATTAAACGGGTATAAAACAATGTAGACAATCATACATATACTTTGAACAATTTATTTTAATAAGACACATGATGACGCGTGCGACCTATACTCATGCACACAAAATATTTTTTATAACATAAAATACATGAAGATGTGAACAATTATAATCATGTCTAAAACTTTATTTTAAAAAGAATGAAGCAAATAATGATGCATGCGACCATACCTGTGCCTACAAAATTAGTTTAAAAATTGAAGCGTATGATAATGGGTGCAATCATACTTATGCTTTGAAAATGTGAGACATATAACAATTGCGACTATACCGTGTCTCAAAATCTATTAAAAATGTAATACATAATTTTTTATCCTAATGAGTGATTGATGAAATCTATTACTGAATAATTGAATTCTTGAAAGAGTGATATTATAATTTAGATGCAGTAAAACAAGGTCAATTTCATGAGTTGAATAATACATCAAAAGTTATTAGTGTTCTTTATGGTGAATTCCTTGGATATGGTGTAATCATTGAGAAACAAAAAAACAAAGTCCAGACTCTTTATAAATGAAATGTTACTCAATCAAGATAAAATACTTAAAAAATCACGATAAAAGGATAAACAGGAAAATTTATCTTCTAAACAGACTCAATAGTGTGAGGAATAATTATATTACTTCTCTTCCATCATAAAGAAAAATTTATCTTCTAAACAGACTCAATAGTGTGAGGAATAATTATATTACTTCTCTTCCTTCATAAAGAAAATTATTGTTTTACAATAACTTTATGTTAAACTCATTATATGACACCAGAAGATAATAAATAAACTTAGTAGACAACATAAACATTTGTCATATATCATGAATAAAAATGGAAAATCCCACGAGGTTGAAAAAAAAAATCCTACCAAGATATCAAATGGAGTGATCCTTACAAGGATAATTTTTAAAGAAAAATAAGTGAAAAGCATTGAAATTCTTAAAAATAAAACAAAATAAAAATAGATCTTGTAATCAAAAGTGTTTTGTTTGTAAGAAAAAAAGACATTTCTAAAAATATGTCTTTGTAAAATAAAAAATAAAATAAAACTCAAAATAGTTCCGATCTTAGAAAAAATAAAAAAAATTAAATCTCTATATTCAAAACAAAATCTTGCAAATAAAAATAGTATTATCAACCTAAAATAATATTGATGAAGTTGAATTGTCAACAAAAAGAATTAGAACTCTTTCTAAAGAATTGTATCCTATTAACATCACACTTTCATATTTATGTATTATTTAAATAAACACAAAAAATATAAGTTAATAATGGATCGTAATATTATTCCATAAACTCTAAATTCACTCTATTATAATAAAGTTCCTAATGAAACTAGTAATCTTTACATAAATCAAGACTAATATCAATAACATAAACCTTTCTGTTTGGATGGAATAAATATTAAAATAGTTTTTTTTGTTAATAGTCATGATAATTTTTGTCACCCAGGTCTTATTTGAAATAAATTTAGAGTTTATCATCAATTTCCATTCCAACTTAAATGAAAATTTAAAGTAACTTTTTATGGAAACACTTTCTTTAATCAACGATTGCTTCAACAAAAATATAATAAATTGTTCGAAGACAAAAATTAATGGAATAAAATCAATCCAATAAAAACAATAAAGAGGACCTTTTATATTAGAAAAATCTTAAACGAAAACAAATTGTTCATTCTATATAAAAGAACAATAAAAAAAATAATTAACAAATATATTTTAATAATTTAATTTAAATTTGATTGAAATGTGTTATTTTATTATCATTGAGAGATTTAAATTTACAAAACAATATATTTGCATTGTTAAGTATTAGTAACCTAATTAATATATATATATATATATATATATATATATATATATTAAAAATCATAAAACTAAATTTATTATCAAAATTTATTTTATTTTAGATTTTGTCAAAAAGTGGATCAACAAATTTTCTCGTTGATTATAAGTTGGTTTGACATCAAAGAATAAGTGAATAATTTATATTATAACCTTCAAATTATTATTAATTTGATAGATTATTTTATTTAAAATTAACCATTTAACCTTTTTTTAATGTATTTATTTTTATTTTGTTTTAAAAATATATTTTTTATGCAATAAAATTATTTTATTATAAATATTGAACATTATTTGATGTATTATTAAATTATTATTTTGTCAAAAAGTAATCGACAAATGACCTGTAGATGACAAGTTGGTTCGACAGCAAAATGAATAAGTAGTTCATATTATAACCTTAAATTTATTATTAACTTGATAGATTAATTTTATTTAAAATTAACCATTTGACCTTTTTAATGTAATTATTTTTATTTTGTTTAAAAATATAATTTTGATGTAATAAAATTATTCTATTATAGAGTATTTAACATTATTTTATGTATTATTAAATTATTTATATTCTTTTATTAATATCGATTCAGTTACGTCTTATCACAATTAAACTACTAAATTTTTAACTACTGTTTAGATTAATTTTGAAATGATTTTCAAAACAATAATTATATGATGAAACTTGGAAATACTTGGTGAAAAAAATTACCAATATATGAAAGGTGAAAACACTGTTTAAAAAGCCTAATTGATTTTTTTTTTTAGAAGATGTAAAAAAGTTATAATGCAAGGGATTCATGATCCAACCTCTAATTATTTATGGGGAGTTCATTTTTCTCAATGGCATATAACCTATTTAAAAATATAATAAATTTGAATGAAACGTTTAAAAAGAATAGGTGATTAACTTAATTAAATTTTTTCTAGTTTGTGAATTAATTTGATTTTTATTATACAACATTCATTTGTGACAAATGGATCTTATAATCACCAAATCCTTTTACTAATAATTTTATCAAAGTATTTTTTAAAATAACTTATCCATAATATGACATTAAATTTAAGTTAAATATTTTTCAGTGTAAATATGTTATGTATTATCACTAAATCATATATTGTTATGGATACTAATTATATATATATATATATATATATATATTTAATAACTACTTTAAAAGCCATGAGTAATATTTTATTAGTTCATACTACAAAATTATTTATATAAAAAAAACAGGAAATTAGAAGTACATGATAATTTAAAATAAAAATTTGGCAACCAAATTATTTTTCGTATTTTAAAATTTTAAAATTCCCATACTAATTACCATACTTAAGTTTTTTTTTTATTAGTAGTAAACTATTGTTAATTTAAATATATTTTATAAAATTGCTAATTTATGTTTTATTCCTCTTGCTGATCCATCGATGTTGTCAACCCATCTTGAAGACCTTGTGCATAAGTTATCTGGGCTTCGGACCTTGGGCCCTAAAAGGTTGTTACTGTAGTTTCGAGTTCTATATAAACCACCCCTACCATCCTTCTACCTCCAGCTGTCCAACCCTAAACCCTGATTGTGGCTGCTGCTGCTGCAACCCTCCGATTTAAAAGGTTTCTTAATTTTTGATCGAATCAGATCCATGTGTTTCTACGAAGCCTTTTCACTTTGAATCTGTGTTCCGAAGCTTGTGTTTTGTGTATTTTTTTTTCTTTAAATCTCGTTTGTGCTTTAATCGGTTAATGTAATTTAGTGTTATTATCTGTGTATGCAGGAGGTTGTGAAAACTGTGGGTGAGTGATTTCAATGGCTCCTGCTAAGGGTGAGCCTTGCATCATTATTTTATTGTCTACTTCTTATACACACACACACACACACACATATATATATATATATATATAATATTCATGAATGCTATGCTGATATGTATGTCTTAGCTGCTGAAAAACTTGTATTGGAATGGTTTGTTTATGCTAAAACATATACCGTTTGCTGATACTGCATACTTGGCTTAAATGGTGGATATGGTGAATACTGGACAGGATTACCCAGTCATAAGTCATATCCTATTATTCTTAGCCAATGTATGACATGAATTTATCGTAAATTTTGTTAGTCTTATGTTTTGCTTCCAAATTTTGTTTCAGTTGATGCATTGTTTTATGTACATCATGTTTTCAGCTTAGAAGGATAAGGCTCAAAGGAATACTGGTTTCCTGTTAATGATCTAACTACCTTTCTTCCTTGTGCAGTGGCCAATGCTAAAAAGGCTGATCCGAAAGCTCAGGCCTTGAAGACAGCTAAGGCTGTCAAATCAGGTGGCCAAGTGTTTAAGAAGAAAGCTAAAAAGATCAGGACATCTGTTACATTTCACAGGCCAAAGACATTGAAGAAAGACAGGAACCCTAAATATCCTCGCATTAGTGCTCCACCCAGAAACAAGTTGGACCATTATCAGATACTAAAATTTCCTCTAACCACCGAGTCTGCAATGAAGAAAATTGAGGATAACAACACTCTGGTATTTATTGTTGATCTCCGTGCTGACAAAAAGAAGATTAAATATGCTGTAAAGAAGATGTATGACATTCAGGCCAAGAAAGTGAATACTTTAATCAGGTAATGGGAATCAAAATTTACTGTACTTTATGTGCTTCTTTATTTGAGTATTGCATAGAATATTATATTAAGCAGTCTAGTTTCTTTTTTATGTTTTTACCATCTTGTGTTTTTTTGCAGGCCTGATGGAACGAAGAAAGCGTATGTTAGGTTGACTCCAGATTATGATGCCTTAGATGTAGCCAACAAGATTGGTATCATCTAAGTTGTGCTCTTGATTATAGCAAAAGTCCATCCTTCTTTGTTAAGATAGTTGTTCTACACGTCCTTAGCTCAGGACTTTTAGTTCTCCATATGTATTAACTATTGTTCATTCAATCGAGTCAGAGAACATTTTTTGTTCATTTTTACATGGTTTGAGTTAAGTATTTTCAACTGATTGGTACAGCTCATTTTATTGGACGAATAAGAATTTGAATCAACCAGTGAAACCCTTTTATGCACTTTAATTTTGTTGAATAACAGATTTCATATCACCATCAACACTTTGTTTAACTAATAGTTCACATGTAAACCTAATTTTGCATTAAAAAGTGAGTAAACTCTATTCCCAAATGTATCTATCCATTTCCATTAACGTAATACTCAAATCATTCTATAAATCTTCCCATGTATACTTATTGTCATCTGCCACCATCTTCCAACGATCATTGTATGGAATTTTAAGATTAATAGCTTGAAGAGGAGAGTAGCAGGAGGAAAAGTTGTTCTTTGCCTCCAATGTCTCTCCATTTCTTTTTATTTCAAGGTATCAATTCCTGTCCTGACACCAGCATATTTATTATTTTCACTTGGTATATGTTGTCATATTAGGCGGTAGTGGATACTTGGCATATGTTCACGGTTCTGTCATAGTTTTACTCACATGTAAAGAATATAGAAATGTAATGTTATCTAAAGTTAGGCATCAGTGACCTGTTGCTCCTGGGTTTGGATATGGAAACAACTGTGTTGGTGTATGCTAGTGTGAGGCTCATATAGCTAGGAGCCTTCTTGATACACGGTATGCTTCAAAGATTTAGGTTTTTATCGTATTATTGTGTAAATTTTGGTACATTGTTAGAGACCAAAAATTAAGTACTTTTATAGTTAGAATGAAGTATGAATGTATAATCTTTTTTGTTTGAGTTCTGTCTGGTCTCCAAATCACAATCTATGCCCACCTGAGTTCTTTTCAATCAAAACTATTTTGCAGTAAATCGCTGTAGTCTTACTATAGGATTTATGCACGTATTAATATATACATAAGCAATAATTATTGCAAATTCCTATTATGCAGGGTGCATTACCTGTGCTAGTTTTCTCTTTGCTTGTTTGCTCAGCACTTAATAGAGAATAACAAATCATGACGTTCTGTTTCTTTGGAATACCATACGTAGTCAACAGATTGACTTTGTGTGCAATTTTGGTATAGATTGTTACATGTGTATGACATAATATATGGAGTGAGTCTGATTAATATTGATTTTTATTGGTTGATTACATCTCTTGGGAAAGCATCCATTGGCCAGTAAAATACTGTAATTCTTTGAGCTACATCACGATTTCTTTTTAGAATAACCATACATAGTCAGGTGTCTACCGTATTAGAAAATTTGGTAGAGACTGTTACATGTCTGGAACATAATATTCTATAAGAGTGAGTCTGATAAATATGGGTTTCCATGTTGTATGATAACATCTCTTGGAAAGGTGTCCATCGTTGCCCAATAATATGCTTCATTATTATTTGAGCTACATCTGGACTCTATATTGTAAAACCTTAGCCATTCACTTTTGTTCCTTTCAAGCAGAGCTTTTCTGCATAAGTCACGCCGTAGAATTATTTAATGTACCGATTTGCATTCATTATTTAATTATCTCAAGTTCTTATGTCTCTTTGAATTTGTGTTATTTTCCGTGTTGCTGCTAAACAAAAAATGGAATGAAACATTTCAGGGCTTCTTTTTAGAATAACCAGACATAGTCAGGTGTCTGCCGTGTTTGAAAATTTGGTAGAGACTGTTACATGTCTGGAAGATAGTATACCAAGAGTGATTCTGATAATATGGGTTTCCATGTTGTATGATAACATCTCTTGGAAAGGTGTCCATCGTTGCCCAGTAATATACTTTATTATTATTTGAGCTACATCTGGACTCTACATTATTAAACCTCAGCCCTTCACCCTTGTTCCATTCAAGCCAAGCTTTTCTCCACTAGTCGTACTGCTAGAATTTTTAATTTATTGACATGCGTTCAGGATTTAATTATCTCTAGTTCATATTTTTGTGGTTGGATACTTGTTTTTTTTTCTCCCTTGCTGCTAAACAAATAATTGAGCGAAACAATTCAGGACTTTTTTTTTTTAAATTACCAGACATAGTCAGGTGTCTGCCGTATTTGGAAATTTGGTAGAGACTGTTACATGTCTGGAACATAATATACCAAGAGTGAGTCTGATAAATATGGGTTTCCATGTTGTTTGATATCATCTCTTGGAAAGGTGTCCATCGTTGCTCAATAGTATGCTTCATTATTATTTGAGCTACATCTGGACTCTACATTGTAAAACCTCAGCCCTTCTTCACTTTTGTTCCTTTCAAGCCAAGCTTTTCTGCATTAGTCACGCAGTTAGCAGTTTTTCAAGTATTTACACACGTTTACATACATTAAATATTCAATTATCACAATTTCCTTTTCTTGTGGTTGAAAAGTTGTTATTTGTGCTCCTTTTGCTGCTAGACTTTTAATTGTGTGAAATAATTCAGGACTTCTTTTTAGAATAACCAGACATAATCAGCTGTCTGCCGTGTTTGGAAATTTGGTAGAAACTGTTGTATGTCTGAAACGTATGGGATTAGTGTTTCATGTTGTTTGATAACATGTCGAGTTACATCTGGTTTTTCACATTGCAAAGCCTCCTACCCTCGGTCTCCCTTGTACCTGTTAACCCCTAAAATAACGAAGGGACAGCAATATCTGTAGCTAAAATTGTCACTATTATCTTTTATTGTTCTCAACAGTTTTGCATGTTTTAATAGTTTTTCCTTTTATTGTGAAACATTTCACGAGCTTTTGTACAAAGGTCCTCATAAGCCCTTGGAAATTTTATTTCGAAAATTTGGAAAATACCTCTTCTAAGTTGAATAGTTTGCCATCATCATCTTTTGAAGTAAATATGATTGGTTGGCCATTTATTTGTAAAGGCAGCTTGCTGTTGAAGTTGGTATAAGGAGAATGGTTGAGGTTGGAGGCGCCACGTGTACATTACTCATTTTGTACAGTTGCCTTTGTCCTGTATCCATTGCTGATGATGTATGGGTGCCCTGGTGTGGTGGCGTGCCGTGTATACACACCCTAATTTAATAGGAGTGCAAAACAATAAGCCTGTAAAGTGACTGCTCTGAATTTCCATGTACGCATTTTTTTGGATAATGGTTTGCTAGAGTGGGGTCCTATGAAATAACATGTCTTTTTTGTTCATTATGTCTTGGAATGTGTTTCGAATCATTTTAAACCCTTTGGATAATGTTATTCACATTAAAGTTATAATGAAGAAGTTTAAGTGTTGTATATAGATTTTTTGCGAAACAGTGAAAAATAAAGCCAATGCTACCATCCTTTTTATTGTCAATTATAATCAGATTAAAAAATGTTTTTAATCCTAATTACAACAAATGACTTAATTCATTAATTAGTAAACATATTTAAGAAACTATGTCCTTACTAACAAGAGTAATTTGTTTTTATTATAAGAAAAATTTCGATGTAACTTTGAAAAAGATAAAATGTCACGTAAAAGACTTGAAACAAAAATGTGAACATTATTTTTTGGTGTCATAATTTTTCAATAAAGAATCATGAAAATTTTCATTCCTAATTTCATATTATTGAGAAACTGGATCTCTTTTTGCACCAAACGAATATTTCATCGGAATCCAGTTCTCTGAAGATGGAATGACTCAAATTAGTTTCTAGAAGTTTGGGATGAGATTTTGGGGTTGATCATGTTGAGTTGATTCGTATTGGCAGGTGATGCATAAGAATTCCCCCAGTTCTTTTTGTACAGTGCATTACATGTATTTGGAGAACAGTTTTTATAACGCTCAAATGAACATTCTCGCTCAAGAGTTTAATATCTCTAATATATGGTAACAATAATTATCATCATCAGACATCGAAAATTTTGAAGGACTCTACCACTGTATGCAGTCTGTCTTTCATCTTTTCCCATCTTCTCTCGTTTGCTCCGGTAGTCAAGGTGTAAAACTTACCTATAATTTATAATTAAAACATAAGTAAATAACATAGATAATGTTTATGTTCGGAACTCACTTGTGTACTATTCTATTTATCTGAATCTCATATGTTTTGAATTTTAACACTGAACAAAAAAATCATCTAAACTTGGATACATGATTACATACATTTTCTAATTTTGAAGATTTTCTATTTTTGTGAAAATTTTAATCGTGCAATTAAAATATTCAAAAGTGTCAAAACATACCATTGCCAATGGAGACTGTGCTGAGAGCATGACGAGTATAGTTTGGAGCCTTAGCAATGAACTCAAACTGATAGTATTTTTTTCCTTCAACATCTTGCTGTAGCATTACGTATGGAGCAAGTCATGATCAGTGTCTTTGCAGTTATACTTACCCATTTATATACACTCACACATAAGAACCAATAATCAGAATATTGAATATGGAGGAACTTTGCAAGCGGCACACATTTTGCACACAAGAAATGTCAATCACAGTGCACATATTCATCAACATGATTAGATACCTTCAGAAAAATAAACAAGGAAACATATTCAAGAGAAGTAGTATTTAGTTGCTCTCATGTTTCCTATTTGACAACAGTAATCAAATGAAAAATTAACAAAATTATGGTTTGTTTTATGATGTGCTAAACACATTATTGGTTCTCCCTTGAGTCCGGAAGATAAAACCAAGCAACAGAATATGATGATGCCTACCTATTCTCTTGCCAAAAACCCTAAAAAAGTTAAAAGATTACTGTTCTTTAATTCAAACAGAAAAATAAACATTCTTCTGTGTTAGCCTGTTTCCAACCATTGTTTAATCTTCTTTTCTCAATTTGTTGACAATAGTTTCTGTATGAATACTACAAACCACTAAAACTGTTATCCATGTAGTTTGCTGATGTTCTGTTGGGGAAGATGCCGAAAATTATATTTAGGTTGTTGAGGTATAATCATTTTTTGAATACATAAAAGACTCGTAATATCCAGAGCAAGTTTGAGATTCAAATTAAACTAAGACTGGCAGAATAGAATTGCATGGGGGTCACGAAACACACACGTCTACTGAACAAATTTATCAATAGATTAAATGAGCAGAGTCAAAAAAAAAAAAAAAAAAAAGACTACAAATATGGAAAAGAGATGTAAAACATCAAACCTCCTTTGCTTCTACTATCTTGGTTTTCTGGTTTGAAGGGGCCAAAACCCTTTTTATAAGAGTTTCAGCAACCTCCTGAGGGGACCCAAATTCTGTAATATCCTGTTTGCCAGTTGGTATCAGATTTACACTGACACTCTCCAGTGGTTCAATGACATCTTTGAACACCTTATCTTGACCTTCGATTACTACTTCCTGCTCACTCCCCGTGATAAAAAAAGAGATGAAGTAGCTAACCTTAGCTTCCATTTATATAAACTTGATATAGATATAAAAGTCACACTGATGCAGAGTGCAGACAGTAGTATAACAATGCTCACCTGCCACCCAAAAGGGTAGAGAAATGAATATCCATCTTTCTTGTCCAAAACAGGCAAAAATCCCTTCTTATTTTCTGCAGCAACTGAGCCATATCAAGGGTATATCCTCAGGATGTCAGGCATCAGTATTTAGGAAAGTCACATGTGTCATAAACAGCATTTGTACCTTCCTGATCAAGCACAATTCAGTAACATGGAAAGTTTAACTGCTTAAAATGCAATCTTACAAGAGTTTGAATGTTGGTTGATCAGAAAAATTAATGGGGCAGTAGTTCCAATGGCAATCAATTGGCGCCTTCTTTGTCTGTCTGTCAAGGTAAGGCAAAGGATTAAAAAAAACAAAAGTTGATATAGTCCCAGTTAATGATGGCAATTCAATGTCAGATAAGATATCCTCCTACAAATCTTCCTAATACTTTATAAATAATGTATTAAATGAAAAAACAAATCCATTTATTGTCTTGAAAACATACAAAATGTTGTAAGAGGATCTAGAATTGTTCGTCACACAATTCTTTACTAAATTGTTTACAGCAGGAATAGGGATTACAAATCAAAATTGTTCAGGTTTCACCGCAAATAACATGTAATCCGTACTAGGACTTTTTGTGCCCCACATGAAACACCAACTACACAGCTGCTTAGTATTTTCACTCCTCATTCCGAAGCATGCTTTACTAGTATTGTTTATTCAAAAATACTGACATGGTTAATAGCCTAACCAAACTTTTAAGGAAAGAGAACCAAGTGCTTAAAAACTTTCTCCTCGATCAGAACTCACGACCTTCTGTAGCTAGTTCTTTCTAAGACACCACCAACAGCTAGTTCCGATACCAGATGATAAAAACTCAAACACTTGCAAAATCTCACCCTTAGAAGCTACCTATTAAGTCCCTCAAATGATGTCAGACTAACGTCACCCCATAATTACCAAAATATCTATCAACTTCATATGCAGTTTACATTATACTACTTGTGAGGGTTAATCTCTGATTTACAAAACAAGATTAACATAGTTTTTTCATCTTTATGAGAAGCTAATTACCTACATTGATATACAGAGGCACGCTCAAAGAGCTATTGGAATATACCTATTCATCCTTTGGATTTTGAAGTATCAATGAGCAGCAAGGCATCCTAAAATACCAAATAAGCATAGAGGGTGTACAAACTCTTCTACCAACTAACACAAGCAACCTCAGTGACACACACTACATATAACTTCGGATATTCTTATATAAGATATAATCGGAGCTGTGAATTCAACTTGAGGAGACCCAAAAGAAAAAAAAAAAGGAACCTTGTGAAGTTAAAGAAGCAGAGGGCTCTTGGGAAGCTTTAACAATGAAGGAAATAGCATCTCTTCGAGGAGAACGAGAAGTGGCATGCTTCTGTAACAGACCCACATTTCAGAAGAATGAATCAAAATCAGGAAGCAAAACCATGAGGGTGGTTATGATTGTGAATTACCGGAGGGAAAGAGTTGTGAAGAAGGGCTCGGTGAAGTGTTGGGGAATTCTGCAGGGACGTCATTGTTGTGTGTGTGAGAGATTGGAAAGAAAATGAAACAAGAACAAAGTGACTTGTGTAGGTTGTTGTGTTCTATGTGGTGGAGGACTCACTTTTTGGGACTTTCACTTATCCAAAACAATCTTCTTTGTCCTCGTCACATTTTCATATATATATATATATATATATATATATATATATATATATATATATATATATATATATATATATATATATATTTCTTATTAAATGTTTGTGCATTTTATACTTATAATTTATATAAATTTAATTTTTATCATGAATTAATAGAATTATAGAATTTATATGCATAAATTTTAATATATGTTTTTTTATTGAGGTTTATAGTCTTTTATAGTTAATATTTTCGTAATATTCATAACTCTTGTTTTTCTAGTTTGTAAAGTTTGAATTGAGAATTTATTTAATATTCTTCTTATACAAATCATTTGCACTTTATTGTCTAATTTTCATCCTCATTCTTATTCTCTCCTTTTTGAACTTCGTTTTTAACGTATAATATTATGATAATTTAATTTAACTTATATTCAAGACGTGTTATTGGTATCATCTTGTAATTCATAAAATTAAATTATTTTAAACTTTTACAATATAAAATATAAATTTAGATATTTTTTTAGGGATATATTAATTATATTTAGTTTAAGGTTTAGGATTTAAGATTTAATTATTCTTATTCGAAAAACACCAATAAAAAATATAACTTTTTATCTTCAGGATTTAATTGTTCCTAATCGAAAAACACCAAACAAAGTTTTAAAAACAAGAGAGGAGAAAAAAAATTAAAATCGAAATTAAGTTAAAAGAAGAATTAAGAGAAAATAATAAATAAATAATTCTTCAAATTACAAATTTACTAAAATAATTTGTATATATTAATTTAGAATATATTTAGATGGTTTAAACACTTTAAAATTTGATGAAAATACTAATTAAGCTTATAAGTCTAATTACATAAATTTAAATTAATATAAAAAAATCTAATTAATATAATTTCTTTTAAAAAAATTACAAATCTATTTCACCTTCTAAAAATCATAATATATATATATATATATATATATATATATATATATTCAAGTACTATAAATCTAATAAACAATAATTTCATTCAAAAAATCTAAAAATTTAGAATCTAATACCAGTAAAATTAATTAAAATAATATTTTTAAAATATTACGATGAAAACAAAAAATAAATATTAAAATAGTTAAAAATATAAAATTAGAATAAATATATAAATTAAAGTTAATCTATTACATAAAAGAATTAATTAAAAACTAAAATAAAATATATAAAAAGTAAATTAGAACATATTTATTAATTTTATTTTTCAACCTTTTAATTTGATCTTTTAATTAAGAAAAAAACTTAAGATTTAGGATTTAAATAATTAAATTAAAATTATTAATTTTTAAAAAAATATTTGATTCTAAAAAGTTATAAATTAAACACATAAAAAAAATGATAGTTTCACTTATATTTAATGATTGTTAGTTGATGATATTTTTTTAGAGAATATATGCTTCGAATCTTTGTACAGAAATTTCAAATGAAACAATTGACTCAGTATTGGTCAAATTATCTACACTCACTTTTTCTTTACCAATCTTTGGTGGTACCTTTCAGATTTCTATTCTTACGTTTAAAAACTTCGTCTACCATATCAACTATTTCTAGATGTTCTAAAATTAATTTTGTAATTTCTTTGAATTGGTTATATAAGAGATTTTACCATGAATTGAAATTAAATAAAGTATTAGTTTCTTAAGTAACTCTTATTAAATATGACTAATTAGTATAGTTTATTTCTAGAAATGTTTAGTTTAAAGTTATTAACATATTAATAATCATAGTTAATTTTTACATTAGTCATAATTTTTTAATTCTTTTTTGAAAATTAAGAATAATTAACTAATATGTACAAATGAATAGAAACTACATAATATTATGTTCTCTATTGATAGAACCTTATCCTATGCATGTAGAAGAGTCATTTTCAAAGTAACTAGGTTTTGTTTTGGGAAATAATGGATGTGACATGAAGACGATAAGTAATAAAAATAAAAAATTGAGTGAAAGTGTGAAATTTCAGAAATGGGTGACATTTGTGAGTGGATGATCTATGGATTGACCTAAGAATTACAAGAAAAAGTCAAGAGGGTGCTTCAACCCATTTCACCGCTCTAACCATTTCATAAATTCTCAAACTTTTTTTTTTCTTTCTCCATATTATCCTTGCCCTAGTGCTCATCTTTGCAATTCATCACATACTAATGAAAAAAGGTTCACCTTTCATGATTTCATCCACAACTAAGAAACCTCTTAGAAACATAAAGTAAACTTCAATGAACCACTTTTTCATTCTTAGTAATCACTTTTTCTTCTTTCTTTTTTCACACTTACATGTTTAATCTTTCCTTCTAAATCACTATTACTTTCAAATAATAAAACACTAAAACTTCTCTCTACGCTACAAACATAATTTTACCCACCTGAGTTACTATTTTAAAACAAAATCCCTTAGTTTTATTGATTAAATATACATTTAAATAAACTTTTTTATATCAAATTCTAAAAAATAAATTTATATAATTTAAAATTAACTTATAAATAAATTACAAAAATAAGAAAGTTATTTGAGATAATATTTTATAGAATAATTTATGCATAAACTATGTAAAAATTTATCTAATTTTTTATTTATGATAAATACTTATGAGAAAATGTTCTTCTATAACCAAATAAAACTCGTAGTTTTAAAGAGAGGAAATATATAGAAAAAAAAATGAGACTGGTTTTTTCTTAAATTTTGAATTGATTTCTGTATAAGATAAAAAAAAAAAGGTTACGTGACATAACTTTTATAAATTACATTTTCATTTATGGTTTGAAAACAATATATTGTGTTTGACAAAATTAATAAGTGAATGCCAAATTACAAACTTATATATTGTGTTATGTAAATAATCTTGTGCAATGCTCTTTCCACTTAATTAATAATTTTGTAGTTTAAAGTCTTTAATATCCAATTATATATTAAATTTTTGGAAGGAGATTTTTGTCATAATTTTTATTTTCACTAAAACAATAATATTTTCGGTGTCAAAAGCTTATGATTTATAGAAACACGTTTTAAATATACTTTATTAAAAAGAAGAAGAAGTAAAGTTATTATGGAGTTTATATTTTTACGAAAAGTAGTTGAGAATGTAAAAGTTTAAACATCCATGAATATAATATTTTTGTTAATTTTATGACTAGAGAAAGTTAAATGTTCTATAATCATAATATTTTCAATATAATAGAATTAATAATTTTATTTTAAGGATACAAGTTATATTAATTGATAAATTAATGATTAATTAATTATTAACAAAAAATTTGTATTTAATCCATGTTTACGCAAATTAAGTTTATAAAAAGGAAAACCCTCTTCCCCCCACTTTATATACATAAATATTATTTTTAATATATACACGTGTGTAATAATGCATATAAAACATTAAATCTAACCGCCACAAAAAAGAAAAAAAAATTAAACACATTAATTATCAAATTCAATTTAAAAGATGTAAATTAGATAGATGTGTGCTCCTTCACTCGACACACCAGCTAGTGCCACGTGTCAATTGTAACGACTCTCACCAAAGGACCCAAACGTAATTTCGGAAAAACACAAAACTCCATCATAGTTGACGGTGACTTTACCAAAACACCCTTCTCCGTTGTTCCAGCTTTGCATGCATGCCTTTGTCGTCACAGCGCACACTCACTGTATTTGTGTCCCTAAAAGGCATATGAACACACATAAGAAAAAAAAATTAATATTAATAATTAATCAAATCTTAATAAATCGTCGTAAAATAGGAAAGTACGTTAAAGCACATCGACGCCGGCGTTTGACCGTTAAACCAATCGAAACAAAAAAACTATCCCAAACCCGGAGAAGAAGAAGAAGAAGAAAACGGGAGAGGGTTCACGAATTTCGCGTGCTGCTTCGGGGGACGTTTGTTTCTCCTCTCCGACCTCCGTTTACGACCTCAGAGGCCGTAAAAAGAGACGGCGACGGCGGTGCCGGCGTAGGCCAGGACGGCATCGTTCGCCGGAAGGGGAAAACAGCGGAAAGCAGTTATATCCGAAGGTTTTTCAGATTTTAAGTGGATCTGCTCCACTGAGAATTTTTGTTCGGAGAGCGATTTCGTTTCGGAGAGAGCGTGCTAGAAGAGATGATGATTTCGAGAGGATTGTTCGGGTGGTCCCCGCCGCACGTGCAACCGCTCACGCCGGTTTCAGAGGTCTCGGAGCCGCCGGAGTCTCCGTCGCCGTACCTGGACCCGGGCGCCGAGACCTCTGCGTCGCAGCAGGTGGAGGCGGAGGAGGAAATGGAGGAACTGGAGGAGATCGAGCCTCCACCCGCTGCAGTTCCGTTTTCGCAGCTCTTCGCGTGCGCCGACCGCTTCGATTGGTTCCTCATGACCGTGGGTTCCATCGCCGCTGCGGCTCATGGCACCGCGCTAGTCGTCTACTTGCACTATTTCGCGAAGATTATCCACGTGCTGCGGATGGATCCTCAGCACGGCACGTCGCACGAGCAGTTTCACAGGTTCACAGAGGTTAGATTGTGATTTTCATGCGCAAACCCTATCTTTCTTCTTTCGTGGTTTCCCCCGTGTTTAAGGCTCAGGCAATGTTTTGCTGTTTAGATGTAGTTGAAATCTTTATTTATCGAATTCACGGACTAGCTTTGTGACAAGTAGACTTGGCTGAGATTTTGATGATCGGGTATATAAGCTTAGATTTTCAATTATGATATTTGATTTGGTTCACTTGGCTAGCTTATGATTTGCGAAGTTGTTGTTAGGGTTTAAGCTATGTATGTCAAAATGTGTCTTCTAGTTTTGTTGCTCATTAATCATGTATTCTTCTAGGCTGCATGTACTGTTCTGTTCCTTTTTCGGTTTGGTGTCTGGAACAAAATTGGTCAATATGTGGGAACTTCCGTGGGTAGAAAATTATAAAGTTTGCCTAACCACATTTTCTAAACCGTTGGACTATGAAGAGTTCAAGAAAATTGTTTAGTTCTGATGATTTTGTCACTGCCTTGGCTGGCTGTTTTTGAAAACTGATGACTTTCACTGGCTGAGCATTGCACTTTTTATTTTCATAGTTGCTTCTCTTGCATTGTTGCAATGTTGTTTAGGTATCTGTGTAATTAATTTATCATGGAACGTGTAAACCTTGTCTGGTCTCTATGCAATGATTAAGGTAAATTTTAGAGTACTTTTGAGTTATTTTGTTGTATCAGTTTGTAGTAATAAATACAATCTCATCGTCAGCCCTGTCCATAACAGTTTGTCATAAATAATTTCATTACTTTATCAGCATGTAGTTTGTTTAACACAATGATTGATACGAGAGTAGTCTCTCATGGTTAGTTGAGTCATGGAGCTACTATTTAAACCATGTATCACGCTGAGCTTGGACATGGGCTATCTTCTCTGTCCCATCCCTAAACTAATTGCTTGGAGTGCATTGCAAGTTTACAACTTCTCTGATCTCATAAAATACAAGGGTGAAAGTGGGTCACGATTTAACTAGTTAGCTTCTTGTTGGGTGTATTGAAGTTTATAAAAAATTTGAAGTTTCATTAAGGTTATGAAGGACTTAAATTTTCAGAAAATAGGAAGGGATTTTAAGGAAGGTTGCTTTTCTGCTGGATTGCTATGGAAAGTACATGTGGGAAGAGGGCTATGTATTTGATATCTTTTGGGGAAAATTCAGAGCCAATAATTTAGGATCTTGATGGGATTGTTTTGTGTTGTTATCTGCCAAGGAAAATAAATCCAGGTAGAGTATACAATTAAGGAGTGCAGGATCATGTAGTGGAGAAACCTAAGTATCACACTTCACATCTAGGTTTGATTGCAGTACATGAGGCCACACTTGTATGGAATTTTCTGCCATAATTTATGAAGCTAATCATTTTATTGAGAAAGCATTTATGTTATACCTTTTTAAATATGCCCCTACTATAACTTATCCTTTACGTGTAAGGAATAAAGTATCCTTCAAGGATTTTGACCTATGTCAAAAGAATATCATAACAAGACCAAATTTCAGCTAAATAACACAAACCCAATCGCAAACTCAACCCAAGACCATGCAATGAAAATTACAATACCCCATTGGGCTGAAGATGCTTGAAGTTTCAGATAGGGTGGTTATAATCTTCTACACTTCTACTTGTAATTTGTCTTTTGCCTGATTCTTTTTTTTGCAAGGGATGGCTACAAATTTGTTTCTTTCTGCTTGTCAAGAATATAGAGTGAAGAACAAGTAGGAAACCTAAGGAAGAAGATAATATATTGAGCAAAAGGCATTGATTGAACTGATTCTACTCTGGTATATGTATTGAAAATATTGTTATTGGTTTCACAGTGGCACATTATGCAATACATATAAGAACTTCCGCAAATCATAACACTCCTAAATTACCAAACTGTATGAAGACTTCATATATAGTTTGTGTGGCTAGCCGTTTCTTTTTCATATTATTGTTTATTTATATCAGATTAAGATATGTCTATTTAGCCAGTTATACATTCTTGTAAATTGCCATATTCCTTCTGCTCTGTTGGCCTTGAGACAATAATAAGAGTTTAGGTGTTACTAGCTATTGGGTGCTTTATGCACTAGTAATACTTTCTAGGTTTTTGTGGATAAATAGCCTTAAAAGCTACATACTTCTGACTTGTGGTAATTGTTATCTGGTATGCTTACTTTGTAAGTAAATCTTCAAAATACGTTCTATTTGTCTTTGGGGTTTTAAGCTCCTGGAGGAGAGAGTGGAAGGCTTTTCCCATGCAATTGTTTGGTTTTTCTACTATTTGGGGGACCTTTGAGATAGAAGAGCTCAAAATGCTGAAAGTCAGGGAAACATACGTTTCCTCTTTTAATGAGCATGCTGAAGTTCTACATCATTTTCTACTATCGGCATGGTTTATCTCAACTTTTTCATAATTTTGTCATTTGAGATTTTGAAAGAGGAAAACTTCAGAGGATAAACTATCTTCAGTTTTCTACAAGGCATTCAGTTTGTAAATCAGTGAACTGTTTCTAACTTTGTTTTTTTTCTTCTTCTGCAGCTTGCTTTAACCATTGTTTATATTGCAGTGGGAGTTTTCGTCGCTGGTTGGATAGGTAAAGTTAAATATTTATTGAATATTCATCATGAGAAATGTGTTTTATGAGATGTTTTATTTTAAGTCTTATGCTATTCTAATGCTTTTCCCCTCCTGTTAAATAGAGGTTTCGTGTTGGATCTTGACTGGAGAACGGCAGACTGCTGTAATCAGGTCGAAATATGTTCAAGTACTGCTTAACCAAGATATGAGTTTTTTTGATACTTATGGGAATAATGGAGACATTGTCAGTCAAGTATTGAGTGATGTGTTGCTTATCCAGTCTGCCCTTAGTGAAAAGGTATGTCTGGTTTCAATCATGTGTATAATATATTACTTATTTTGAAAAAATTAACTTCTCTGCAGTGAATATCTATAGACGTATGCCTTGTATAATATGTTTACATACTTTTGATGATACAGGTTGGAAATTATATTCATAATATGGCAACATTCTTCAGTGGTCTTGTCGTTGGCCTCATCAATTGTTGGCAGATTGCTTTGATAACGTTAGCAACAGGCCCATTTATTGTTGCTGCAGGAGGAATATCAAACATATTCCTCCATAGGCTTGCGGAGAATATCCAAGATGCATATGCTGAAGCAGCTGGCATTGCTGAACAGGTTGTTTATTGTTTGAATTTTAATTTTATACATTGAACCAAGTGCTTTCCTCTTTTCTTTTCCTATGTATGCATGAGATAGACATATAGATGAATTTAAGATGCTGTATAATATTCTTCTGTGTCAAATTTTCAACGAGACCACCTTATCTATTTAAAATAACACTGGCACATCATAGTTGACGAATTTTTAAAGCTGACTTGTGGAATGATTCAACCTTAATCCTGGGCTTTCACTACTTTTGATGGTATTGTATATTCATTTGTTCCTATAGGTGCCTGCTAATTGTATATCATATTGGGTATTGATTATTTTTCTGCTAAAATTGGACTGTTTATTTCCTATAAACAATGAGATAATGACAAGGTCTTCTCTGGTTGAAGTGTCTATATTTTATTAAAAGCTACTGTAGCGAATGTAGAGTTTCCTTCATTTCATAAGGTGATTTGTTCTAGATTCTCAGAATTACATGAAAATGAAATTGTACGCAATGAATATCATAGCAGTTAAAAAGACTGCTGTAAGTTTGTAGCTATTTTTGAAATTGAAAAAGAGCTATATCTTTGTTTCAATTTATATATTGCCAAGTTTTCTTTCTTGAGTTGTGATGTTGGAATTTGAGGTGAAAATATGAGATCACCTTTGGCACGAGAGAATCCTTTTGGAATTTAGTGCAGGATTTCTGATTGACGTTCTTGCTTACATTTTTAACTACAAGAATCTTATTACTTCAGATTTTTCTGGGTAGGACAAATGACTTTCACTTTAGTAACTGAATGGAGTCTCCCTCCCTCTCTATGATTTCTGAATGGAATTTTTGAATTGTTTTAATTGGGTTTATCTTATGACATTGACACTTGTGTAAGTGTTTGGAGAGACCTTGTGATAATAACTTTAATGATATGCACATTATCTATCTTCAGCTTATTTCAGTAAGTTTTCTAAGTTATGAAAACTACATACCTGTATATAAAAACTTAACCTGATTTCCTCTTCAATTATAGAAACGACTTGTTCATAAGTGCTAATATTATAACTAGTTATTTGATAGACACCTATTTAAATTGTTAACCATATAATCGATGCTTCAAGTTTCATGAAGGAGTTTCCGCAAAATGTATTTGATAATTTTAGATTTTGGGTTTTACTCAATCCTACAAAATTGACTTCAAAGGTGATCTTGTAACCTCTTAACAGGCAATATGTCTAATCAATTTTAGGCTTGAGTTTTTTTTTTCCCCCCTAATACACCCGTTCATGCCTAGCACTATTGGTCTTGGTATCTGGATGTTATGATTGATGGCCTCATAAATATAGGGTCTAACTCATTCCTACATAACGTATAGGTAAGGGACTCCTAAGCTTTTATGTGACTCTATCTTTAGTCAATGTGGGACTTGATAAAATGTATCATCATTATATATCCACACACACACATATATATATAAAGAAAATGGATTTTGTTAGAGGGATGGAGAAAAAGTATACCTAGGTAGGGAGAGGAGAGAATAAGACATTGTCCAAAACAGAAAATTCTAGATACAACAGGGAATATATAAACTAAGAAATAAAGCAAGACAGTCAGGTGTTTGCTTTTTTGAGATTGCAACTTTGATGAAGTAAGCTGTATATCTAAGAAAGTGGAATTTTATAGAGGGAAGAGAAAAAAAGTATACCTAGACAGGGAGAGGAGAGAACAAGATATTGTCCAAAACAGAAAATTCTAGACACAACAGGGAATATTTAAACTAAGAAATAAAGCAAGACAGTCCAGTCTTTGCTTTTTTGAAATTGCAACTTCGATGTAGTGGCTGTGAGCAGAATAACAAAGACAATCCTTTAATATCCTATGATACTGAGATGGTTGCTCTATTATTTCTAACTGTGATAGCCACATCTAATGGGAAGAGAAATTGATCTAGAGATGCATGGAATGGGATCAATGAACAAAATGCTTCGAGATTTCTGGTAGTTATTTTCTCCATTGGATTATGAATATGCCACCAAAGAGTCTCACAGTATACATACTTAAGCTATTTATATTTTACATATCAGATTATTGCATATGAAACAATTTTGAAGTTGGAAAAAATGAACGATTGCTCTGATTGCTTTATTTTGTTAATAACATCAGAAATGCTTCGGTTTTATCTTTATTTTTACTTTAATATTTGAATTTGAAGTGGTACTGTTAAGAATGATGAAGTGTTTTAGTGCCACCGACTCTCAATATAGATAATTTCTTGTGTTGCAGGCAGTTTCCTATATAAGGACATTGTATGCATTTACAAATGAAACTTTGGCCAAGTATTCATATGCAACATCATTGCAAGCTACTCTTAGATATGGTATATTAATAAGTCTTGTTCAAGGTCTTGGTCTTGGATTTACATATGGTCTAGCAATATGTTCTTGTGCATTACAACTCTGGGTTGGAAGATTCTTGGTTATTCACGGAAAAGTGCATGGTGGTGAAATTATAACAGCTCTTTTTGCTGTAATTCTAAGTGGCCTGTAAGTATTAATCCCACCCAACTCAATTTTTCTATATGTTAATTATTTTACTTAAATATGCTAATTTTACTCAGGGGATTGAATCAAGCAGCGACAAATTTCTACTCATTTGATCAGGGACGAATAGCAGCTTATAGATTGTTTGAGATGATAAGTCGATCACCGTCATCTGTTAATCATGATGGCACTGCCCCTGATTCTGTGCAAGGAAATATAGAATTCCGAAATGTTTATTTCAGCTATCTGTCCCGTCCTGAAATCCCTATCTTGAGTGGATTTTACCTCACTGTGCCTGCTAAGAAAGCTGTAGCACTTGTTGGCAGAAATGGCTCTGGAAAAAGTAGTATTATTCCACTCATGGAGCGTTTTTATGATCCTACATTAGGTAAAAAATTTCCCCTTGGTACAGTATGATTTTATTATCTCATTCAAAGTGCTGTATATGTCATTAGCAGATTTAATTTGATTTGCCAATCTGTGATTCAGGAGAAGTTCTTTTAGATGGTGAAAACATCAAGAATTTGAAACTAGAATGGTTGAGGAGCCTAATAGGACTAGTAACCCAGGAGCCTGCTTTACTCAGTTTGAGTATAAGAGACAACATTGCTTATGGGAGGGATGCCACCATGGATCAAATTGAAGAGGCAGCTAAAATAGCTCACGCACATACGTTTATCAGCTCATTAGAGAAAGGTTATGACACACAGGTAAAACTTGGGTCACATGATCATGTTTTCTTTAGGGTGTTGTTTTTAACTGTTATGTGCCAATCAGGTTTTAATTTCCAAAACTGGTGCTCCTGGTTTTCAGGTTGGCAGGGCAGGTCTATCTTTGACTGAAGAACAGAAAATAAAACTTTCAATTGCAAGAGCTGTGCTCCTAAATCCATCAATTCTTCTGCTTGATGAGGTTACTGGTGGACTTGATTTTGAAGCTGAGAGGGCTGTTCAGGGAGCTCTGGATTTGCTTATGTTGGGTCGCTCAACGATAATAATTGCTCGAAGGCTTAGTCTCATTAGGAATGCTGACTATATAGCTGTTATGGAGGAAGGTCAGCTTGTTGAAATGGGTACTCATGATGAATTATTAACCTTGGATGGCTTATATGCAGAACTACTTCGATGCGAAGAGGCAGCAAAACTTCCCAAGAGGTCTCTTCAACAAATCACACTTATTCCTTTGCCATGCCTTATTGTTTGTGTCTAGTCTACCCGTAAAATAACATGGATCTCTTAAATATTGGGATGATGAAAGTGGCACTAGTTTGTTAAGAAAATTATTTCTTAGAATAATAGTATTTACACTATTTTTAGTGCATTCAACTAACCATTGACTACAGCATTCAACATTTTCTGTTTCAATAATGTTTAAGATTTCCCCACTGGCATTTTCATGGATTTATTCTTTTTAATGATCACCAGGATGCCTGTTCGAAACTACAAGGAAACTAAAGGCTTCCAAATTGAAAAGGATTCTTCAAGTCATAGCTTCAAAGAACCATCATCCCCTAAAATGATGAAGTCACCCTCTCTTCAAAGAGTGTCTAATGTGTCCCGACCTCCAGATGGTGTCTTTAACTTGCAAGAATCACCAAAAGTCCGGAGCCCACCACCTGAGAAAATACTGGAAAACGGTCAGCTAGTGGATGCAGCAGATAAGGAGCCATCAATAAGAAGGCAGGATAGTTTTGAAATGAGACTTCCGGAATTACCAAAGATTGATGTTCAGTCTTTGCATCGACAAACATCAAATGAATCTGATCCCGAATCTCCCATTTCACCTCTTTTAACATCTGATCCTAAAAGTGAACGCTCACATTCACAAACTTTTAGTAGACCGCAAAGTCATTCTGATGATGTTTCAGTTCAAATGAAAGAAACAAAGGGTACACGTCATAAAAAACCACCATCACTGCAGAAGCTGGCTGAGCTTAGTTTTACCGAGTGGCTTTATGCTGTGTTAGGAAGCATAGGTGCTGCTATCTTTGGCTCTTTCAACCCCCTTCTTGCTTATGTTATTGGTCTTGTGGTGACAGCTTACTATAGAATTGATGACACTCATCACCTAGAACGGGAAGTTGACAAGTGGTGCTTGGTTATTAGCTGCATGGGTATTGTGACAGTAGTTGCCAACTTTTTACAGCATTTCTACTTTGGTATTATGGGAGAGAAAATGACAGAAAGAGTTAGGAGAATGATGTTCTCAGGTTCATAACTACTCTTTTGCAGTGTATTTCTTTTAAAAAATGTATAATTTTGAACAGTACTTAACCTGCTTCTTTGATACTGTAGCCATGCTTCGGAATGAAGTGGGATGGTTTGATGATGAAGAGAACAGTGCTGACAATTTGTCCATGCGATTGGCCAATGATGCTACTTTTGTGCGAGCTGCTTTTAGCAACAGGCTTTCCATATTTATACAGGACAGTGCTGCAATTATTGTTGGTCTTCTTATTGGTGCTTTGCTGCACTGGCGGTTAGCACTAGTGGCTTTTGCAACCCTTCCAATTCTCTGTGTTTCTGCCATTGCCCAGGTTTGCACCAGCTGAAATATAACTATTTTGAAAATGGATGTTATTAAATTAATGGACCTGTTCTAGACAAGTGAGATCTGTGAAATACAACTTTATTTTGCTTTCTTTTAATTGTTTGAATTAATGAATGACTTGCTAAGAATAATAAGAGTCTGGTCAGTTTACTTTAATCTTTTGCATGAAACCCATGTTAAATGCAGTCTGCTTTAATATTCCAGAAATTTTGGCTTGCTGGATTTTCAAGAGGTATTCAGGAAATGCACAGAAAGGCATCTTTGGTTCTTGAAGATGCAGTTCGGAACATTTACACTGTTGTTGCTTTTTGTGCTGGTAATAAGGTAATGGAGCTCTATAGGCTGCAATTGAAGAAAATATTTAAGCAGAGCTTTCTACATGGGATGGCAATTGGTTTTGCATTTGGCTTTTCACAGTTTCTACTCTTTGCTTGTAATGCCCTGCTACTTTGGTACACTGCAATATGTATAAAGCGAGGTTACATGGATCCACCTACTGCACTCAAAGAGTACATGGTTTTCTCATTTGCAACATTTGCACTTGTGGAGCCTTTTGGATTGGCTCCTTACATACTAAAACGACGAAAATCCCTCATATCAGTGTTTGAAATTATAGATCGTGTTCCTAAAATTGATCCTGACGATGGCTCAGCATTGAAGCCACCCAATGTGTATGGAAGCATTGAGTTAAAAAATGTTGATTTTTGTTACCCATCTCGTCCTGAAGTGTTGGTATTGAGCAATTTTAGCCTCAAAGTCAATGGGGGCCAAACGGTTGCTATTGTAGGAGTTTCAGGATCAGGAAAGAGCACTATAATATCTTTGATTGAGAGATTTTATGATCCAGTTGCAGGCCAAGTTTTCCTGGATGGTAGGGATTTAAAGCTCTATAACTTACGATGGTTGAGGAGCCACCTTGGTCTTGTTCAGCAAGAACCTATTATCTTCTCAACAACCATAAGGGAAAACATTATATATGCAAGGCATAATGCCACTGAAGCTGAAATGAAAGAGGCTGCAAGAATAGCAAATGCTCATCATTTCATTAGCAGTTTGCCTCATGGTTATGACACTCATGTTGGAATGAGAGGCGTTGACTTGACCCCAGGACAGAAACAGAGAATTGCAATTGCTAGGGTAGTACTGAAAAATGCCCCTATCTTATTGCTAGATGAAGCTAGTTCATCAATTGAATCAGAGTCAAGCCGAGTGGTGCAAGAGGCTCTAGACACGCTAATAATGGGAAACAAGACCACTATTTTAATAGCACACAGGGCTGCAATGATGAGGCATGTAGACAATATTGTAGTGCTTAATGGAGGACGGATAGTGGAGGAAGGCAGTCATGATTCATTGGTAGCAAAGAATGGTTTGTATGTCCGATTGATGCAACCTCATTTTGGTAAGACTTTGCGTCAGCATCGATTTGTGTAAGATGGGGAGTACGTGATGTTAGTAATTGCTACTAATGTTGGTTCATGGCATAATAGTTTCACTTTCTTCTTGAGTTTAATTCGTGGTGACTTGTGCACCTAAAGGGTTTTGCCAAGAATGTCAGGTGGAAATTGTGGGTGGCAATGTGAATGACGGGGCTTGGATTAGCAAATGGCATCAGTAGGCATAGGAAGAGAATACTGTAGGACAAATAGATGTGTAGGAAGTTAAATATAGGATTTTGGAGTTTGTTTGGTTTGTGGACGTGGGTTGAATTCTTTTGGAGGCAAGCAGCTTAGACTGGGTGTTTTCTATCCTTGGTATTGATTTGTTTCTCAAGACAGAGTGGAATCAACACTAATTCTTCTGAGGTGAGGCGACTCTTTTACTGGACTTCCTTTTCACTCTCCCTAACTCCAGCGTGGATGAACTTATTCATAACTGTAATTTTGTTTATCTTTTTCAATTTGTGATAATTGTAGAAAATTCAGATCGAAGAGCTGTAACCTCTGTATATATATAATATATATAGCAATAGTTTGGAAGGCATTCCTTTTGCTGCTTGAATCTTATTGAGTACATTCTTAGTCTTTTATAACAAATTTTCTCAAGCCCTTTTTACTTGAGTTCTACATGATGTGTGCATCTAGGCATTGAGAGCTTCAGAGAATTTCACCTGCTGCCTCGTGCGAGACAGATGAAGAGGCTAGTGTTTTTGGTTTACCGATTGTTGACGTTTGATTTCTAGATTCTGTATCTTAAAGTGGAATCAATCTGCACACCTCACCAGCAAGCATACATAGATAACATCAGTTTATGCTAAAATGTGTTTTTGTTCCCTTTTCTCACTTGTAATATTTTATTATCTACAGGTTAAAATCAATATATGCAGTGTAATTTTAATAGAAGTTCTTTCATATTAAAAAGTATTTTATTCAAATTTCCGTTTATTTTCTTCTATCGTAACAAATTTGTTCGTCAAACATGATTGTGTAAAAGTAAAAAATTGTAGCTTTTGCAATGAGAATGATAATCTTGTACCAAAATTTTACTACCACTTCACTTTTTGAAACAAAATTTTTCCAAAATAAATTATTTCACACTAAATTTAATTTTAACCAACATTATTAAATGTACAAACTTGGATTCTCTTTTCCTCTAAGGATTTTTAGTTTGTTGATTAAACGAAACATAGCCAGGCGACACCCTTGTGTATAATTTGTTATTAAAATTTGATGTATAACTAACTCAAACTTAGTTATTTCGGTAGAAGACATAATAAGATTTAAGAAATTAAAATGTTATCTTAATAAATTTTTTTTTAAATGTAATTTTGTTTTGTTCATGGTGATGATGTATCCAAAACACTCAATAAAAAAAAATTATGTATGCATTTACAATAATGCAAACCCAGCTCATAACCAGTGAGCTCATTGTATGGGGTGGGGTTGTGTACAACATTTTCTTTATCTGCAAGGGAAAAAGGTGAACTTCTTTCCAAAAATCTTCTTTACAGTGAATTTTATTTTTGGGTAATATATTAACATGTGGCTAATTGTTTGGTAATTAAACTATATTCTTAGATAATCTATCTCTGTTTTGAAATAAAAGTGTTAGACACAGATTACAACCAACCAGGCACTAAAAAAATATAAAAAAGTGAAAATCAAACATAGCCAGTTCTAATGGTAGTCAAATAATAGGCTAGCCGGAAGTTTCGCTGATTCTGAAAATATTATGAAGCAAAACTTTTGTAAGAATCCCTTGATCTCCCATTTCAGCTACATCACATCACAGCCACACACTTGGAGAAATTATGACAGTCACCAACAAGTGGCTCCATGAAGACTCAACTTCTTTGTCCCTTACAAGCTGCATGCATTTTTGCATCATCGTAAAGTTTCACTGACCGTTTCCTTGGCCGTTAATTTTGGTGTTTAGAACTCTCACAGTTTGTCCTCACTTATAACCAAATTGTATAGAAAAGAAAACCAAGAAACACAATAAGCTTTTTTCTGTTTCTTGAGGTTCTGGTTCCTGAGCTAGCCAATAATAATAATGGCAATGTATAGAATTGCACTTGGGTCCCCTTCAGAGGCTGGCCAACCTGATGCAATTAGAGCAGCTTTTGCAGAATTCTTCTCCATGATCATTTTTGTTTTTGCTGGGGAAGGATCTGGCATGGCTTACAGTGAGCACTCCACATAGTATTCCTTTCACTCCAAAATGTGTTTTACAAGCTTATCTTAGTCCCATTTAAAGTTCTATTGCATTTTGGAATAATTTACTATAAATTTAATGTCTTCTATACACTGAGCTTATGATTTGATTGGCACTGGCATGGGTTTTAGGACTTTACTGTAAAGTTTGTCAGATGTTGGATCTTCCTCTACTTTGCCTCTCCCAAAGAGAAGTTATATTGTCTAGAATCATTATGTGTTTGTGTTTCAATCAATCTCTAAATGGCATAAAACTTGTTTTTTAATTCAAGTACTAATCACATGAAGATTGATGATCATGTAATTATTTTTCCTATCAAGGTGCTTACATATCTAGCAAACTAAGAGAGTTGTTTTAAGACGAACACACATACATATGGCAGTTCTACACTTCCATTCCAAATAATGCTATGTACATAATATTTGTAAAATTCTAAACCGGAGTGGAAATTTTCACCACGAGTTTCAATTGCCGTGTCCTCTATTTTGATGTTGTTTAGGCCCAGCAGTGTGAGGATTTTGTGTAGCTAGTGCAATGACTATGAATTGGTTATTTTGGCAGGTAAACTTACCAACAATGGACCAGCAACACCAGTTGGTCTCATAGCTGCATCACTATCTCATGCATTTGGGCTATTTGTGGCTGTTTCTGTTGGGGCGAACATTTCTGGTGGTCATGTGAACCCTGCAGTCACATTTGGTGCCTTCATAGGAGGAAACATAACCCTGCTGAGAAGTATTTTGTATTGGATTGCACAGTTACTTGGTTCAGTTGTTGCATGCATTCTTCTCAAGTCTGCAACTGGTGGAATGGTAACCATTTAATCCTCCTTCAGCTTTTACACTGCCATCATAATCGATAGTAACCTTTTGCTCTCCTTTCATGATTGATACTCCAATTTGTAATTTGTACATTGCAGGAAACATCAGGGTTTTCTCTATCCCCTGGGGTATCTGTGAGGAATGCATTAGTTTTTGAAATTGTGATGACTTTTGGATTGGTATATACAGTTTATGCCACATCAGTGGATCCAAAGAAAGGGAATGTAGGAGTTGTTGCCCCAATTGCAATTGGTTTCATTGTGGGTGCCAATATCTTAGTTGGTGGTGCTTTTGATGGTGCATCCATGAACCCAGCTGTGTCCTTTGGCCCTGCAGTAGTTACCTGGCAATGGACTCATCAATGGGTTTATTGGCTTGGACCATTCATTGGTGCAGCAATTGCTGCAATTATCTATGATAATATCTTCATTGGTGATGATGGTCATCAACCTCTTTCAAACAGTGACTTCTAGATTCTTCTTTTTGAAAAATGTTATTGTGTGCTTCTGCTCTCCATTCTGAGGAGTGAATAAATATTTTTGTGTAGAAATTAACATTTTCTTTCTTTAGTGTTGTAGAGATGAACAAGGAATTTCTTTATGTAATATTTACTGTTAGACTAATGAATATGTCCTTAATATTAACTCAGCTACCAATTCCTTTTAACTTTCCTCTGCTATTGTTCCCTTTACACATACATCTCTGTCATGTTTTGTGCCAAAATGCACCAGTGGATTCATAATATTCATCTGTTTTTATTCATTGAAGAAACTGAATAAGAGAATATATAATTCATAATATTCATATTTCTTTCTCATTCATAAAAGCTTATCAACTAATTTCCTGAAACAAGATAACGATGAAGTCGGGCATACCAAATACTATGTACGATTTGATCCCTATCATTTATGTTACGTAACCAATGTTAGAAAACAATTTATATTAATTTTTATTAAAATATTTGAAATGGGGAAGTACAAACAAACAATTTATTCTTTTGGTACCAACAAAATAGTCAATATATACATTTAATAAACTTGAGATTTTGTGATTTATTAAAAAAACGTTATTTTTAATAAATAAATATAACATTTTTAGAAAGCTTCACAAAAATATTAATATATATTAGCTTTATAAATCATCGAGTGCATTAGTATTATTTCAAATAACTAATTAAAAAAATGTATCTATACCAATAAATAATAATATCTAAACGATGATATACGAAACCTATTTTTGCAATATAAACCTAACTTTCATATCGAAAAAAAAAAGAAAAAAATATCTTGACAAGTTTTTCTTCTTAAATAACTATCCAACAATTCCGTCTAATAATATAATATTCATTATAAATTATTTTTATTTTAATTAAATCTTTTATTATTATTATTATTATTATTATTATTATAATAATAATAATAAATTAAGTTGTTTAATGATGTTTGTATTTTTATATTGTCTATATATCATCTCTCAAAATAAAATTACATGTACAATATAGGTTTTGTTAATTGTTTGTTTTTAATAACTGATTGTGTTTATATATATATAAAAAGTAAGGTCTAATGTGTTTTTATTTTAAAATAAGTAGTTTTTTTATGTGAGAAATAAATCATATTTACTTTTGAAATTAGTAATTTTTTAAAGTTATTTATCACAGAAACACTTATTTTGAATTTGAATTAACCGGTCCATGACAAAAAAAATGGAGAAAATTGTTAAATAGGAGTTTGAAGAACAAAATATTTTTATATTTAGAGGATTTGATTTCATGTCTCCAAATTGATCCCATAAATTTAAAATATTTCCAGCTATTAGATCAAATTTAATCAAATCTAATTATTATTTTTTAAATGAGTTTTAATGTTAAACTATGAATCCAATTAGGGGTGTCAATATGAGTTCTAATCTGTGAGTCAATCCAGGCTCACCATGGGTTCGAGTCGAGTCGGGTTGGGTTCGATTTTTTTATTTCTATCGATTATGGGCTAAAAATGAACCCGACTCACTTAACCCACGGGTTAAACGGGTTGAAGCTAGGTTATGGTGGGTTGACCCGCAACCCACCATTAATTTTAAATTTTAAAAATAATTATAATACTTTAATAACCCTAATTGATATTATCCTGTCTTACCTCTACCCTACCCTACATTGTTGGTTGTCGCAGAAGTCAAACCCTCACTCTAACTTGTTATTAGTTGTTCGCTGCATCACTACGTTTGCTGTCGCACTTAGGTTACTTGTCTTATTATCTATCCACTTGCACCACTACACCATGTCCACTCTATTGCTTTCAAAGGTAAGAATTTGTTTCATAACCTAAACTATTGGATTGATGAATCTTTATTTGAAAATTGTACAATCTATGCATTATTTTTTGTTTGTTAATTATTGATACGTATATATATTTAATATATATTTTTTATTTCTTTCTTTTAAATTAATTTACAATATGAAATCTAAAACAATACATCAAAGTGTCAATGTAAATTGTATTAGTGATGATTTTATTATTAATGAAAAACCCAATGAGCCAATTTCGAGTTAATAACGAAGATAATGATGTTGAGAAGAAAGGAAGAAAACATAAGTTTCTACATCCGAAGTTTTTACATAATTTAAAAAATTAAAAAAAAATATGGGTTAGTGAGCCAACCCACCTAACTCACCAACCCATGGTGGGTTGAGCCGTGTTGTAAAATTTCTGGCTCGCCAAAAAATGAGCCGGGTTGAGCTCACCTATTTTTAGCTCAACCCGTGGTGAGTCAACCCGCCCCTAAATCCAACTCATCTCTTAATATAACACATTTAATTAAATTTATCAATTGTATATATTTTTGTAAAAAAAATAAAGATAGACAAAATTACATATAATTGTTTTTTTTTAATTTATAATTTTTTCTTTTAATTTATAAATGTTATGAAACTATGATTTATTTTAAAAGTTTGAAAACATAAATACTTATTTTAAAAAAGCAATACATAAATAAACAGATAAACTATGTTTTTAATACTTTACAACTTTTTTTTTTTTTTAGAATGAAACCCTATGTTACGCATTATGACTGAAATCATGATTTTTCAGAGATTTAGTAGTCAAGTAGTTACAATCTTCAATAAATATTTCTTACCATAAAAATTCCCCACACACTCTTAAATCATGGCCAAGAATTGAGGCATTTAAGCGTGAGCATGAAATGCGTTCTAGAAGAAACCAATTCCAAAGGAGCACGAAATCCTCAGAGTCCATTCCTTCCAGAGCAAAATTGTTACTACCTTCACTCAAACAACGTTTCTGTTTGTTTTATTACGTTCTTAGAATGGAAATGGTCCTCGTTATGTTTTCTACATTCAAAACCTCAATGGTAAGAAAAAGAATATTAAAAATGTAATGGGTCCATTATTCATAGCTACAAGCTTTGCGTGATTTCAAATCAACCAATGATAAGAAAGCTTCATCCTTTGAAAGATCTCAAGGTAAATTGTTATATAAAACTTCAATCACGACTTTTAAGATGAAGATGAATTTGTCAGCTACCCATTTAATGGCCACCGAAATACACCTAGAAGGTGTTTGATAGGAGCTCTTCTTATTTTCCTATCAAGAAATCATAATTTTTCAAAATCATGAATCTTAAAAAAATTTATAGCAATAATAGTATTTTCTTCAATAATTTTTCATTTTGAGAATGTTTTATGATTTTCTGAGAATATTATTTTTTTAGAAGGTGAATCAACTGTGCAAAACATATTTCTTGAACCATAGATTCCCATAAAAGTACAATTGTTTATATACTACCAAACTTTCATTAATGTGCCACCCCATTTTGACTTGTAGATATGTCGTAAATCCAATTTTAATTTAAACTGCATTTAATTGTATCCGTTCTGTTTTAAATTATGGTTGTAACTGTAGTTATGGCTATTGCAGAAACCGTGAGATACGGATAGATTGTGATATAGATGTCATTATAATGTTCGACCAAACAAGATCATATTGAAACAACAGATTCCATGGGAAAGGATCTGTTTAGTAATCTACCAGACGAAATTCTGGGTCGCATAGTTTCTTTTCTACCAAATGAATCAGCACTAGAAACCAGTCTCCTTTCTACCAGGTGGAGAGACCTTTGGAATGAAGCTGTTGTTAGACATGGAAGTGAAGAGGATATCATAGGAGTTGTTGCAGGGTTTATGACAAGTTTTGAGGAGCTTGATCCATTGAAGCATCCCAGAAAGCTTCAGTTTCACTTTGCTCAAGACAGTGTTGTTTTGGCAACTGTTGCAAATAACAGTAAGCTTATGCTGGATTTCTCCCCTTGGAAGGAAGAGCTTCAAAGGGGGTATGAGTTGTTGTTCAAGCCATGTAAGCAACACATGGCCACCTACCAACCTTTTCCTTCCACTTTCTCAGTCAAAACCCTCTACTTGAAATCAGTGAGTTGTTTCACCAGTGAGGTAGCTTCTTCCATTGTTTCAAATTTGGAGCACCTTGAGAACTTGGTGCTCGTTGACTGCAAAGGGTTGGAATCTTTGAGTGTTGAATCCACATCAGAGCTTCACAAGTTAACCATCTTGGATTGCTTAAAGTTGAAGTCTCTCCATCTTAAAACTTCTAAACTCAAGTCTTTTCGGTACCGTGGACCTCTTCCTTTTATTAGGCCAGAATATCATTTCAACCTTAGTGATGCCACGCTTGATTTCAGACTAGGACTCAGCTGCAGTGGTTTGAAGACCAAGGATTTTGATGCAACCCTATTAACTATAAAGAACTCTGAAGTTCTTACTCTGTGTAAATGGACTTTTGAGGTATGTCATGCTTGTTTCATTGAATTTTTTCGGTAATTTTTTTAAATACATTGAAATTTTTTACATGGGTGGAAGCTACTGCTTCTATGCACGTTTTTCTCACCTAGCATATGCTTATGATGTCAAAATTGTGTGGTAAAATTTAACAGATAATCATGCCTTTAAACATACGAGTAGCGGTTTGATTCTTACATTCGTGTATATCAAAGAACATTTGTTAAAATGAATGGTTTAGGAGATTAGTACTTAAAGAGATTAGTCTCTGACTTATTATTAGAGATACTTGGTTTACCTCAAAAGGCATATTCTATACTTTGTGATGATGAGAAGCATGATCTAGATGTCTCATTTTTTATTTTTTTCTGCTATGAACAACTTAACCCAGAAAGGTTATCTTTTGCAGGTACTAATATGGCCATCGATTTCTCCTCTATCTGGGAGCTTCAAATTCTATAAATTAAGAGAATTATGGTGGATTGACAACTACAACAAGAATGAATTCAACATACAAGCCTTATTCTCCTTCTTGAAACTATGTCCTTCCTTGGAGCAACTTTTTGTGACCGTACGTGTTCTCCTTGAGGATTAACTGAACCTGTTGTTCTGCTTAGTTTTTAATCTTTCTGACATATTTCATTTTTCACTAACTGATGTGCAGATTGACCCTGAAAGTTATTCAGCTGAAGGGTCAAATTCATGCTTAATGAAAGAGACTAAATGCACTGAACTGGAACATCTAAAACTGATAAAGTTTATGGGGTTTCCTTCTCAAAAAGATGAAATCTCATTGGCTAAATGTTTAACTCATCTGATCAAGGGAAGCCCTCCAAAGATAAAGACTTCGGATGGGAATTTCTTGGAGTGATTTTCAAATCAATCTCAACAAATCAAAATTTCCTGCAAATACCAAAGAAATCAAAATTAAGAGAAAGTCATGTACTAAGCATGTATCCAAGGTATTATAAATATGTTTTTCTTCTCCTATTGGCTTTATTAGTAGTGTTGAAGATGGGTATTTGCAGATTAAATTAATTTAGTTTTGAAGAATAAAAACTAACTGATAAATCGTATTTCAATGATGTCATTCTCAAACATACTTTGATCGAAATTAAATTCAACTGTTTTCTATGTATTAATTAGATTTTATTAGCTTTCAACCCTCTTACTGGAACACCAGAAAGAAGTCCTGCCACCGTTTCTTTATTTAATTCGTTAATGGGATGGATAATATTAGCACGTGATAGTCATAAGATAAACTCACATATAGTAAATTATAAATAAATTTTTAATTCTATGAATATTTTTTAAATTTTATTTATTAATTAAAACTATTAATTCGTTCTTAGAGATGAAATGGTAGATCAATCCACCAAACAGTTTTGTCATCTAAAATTTGTATTATTATACTATTTTTTTTATTAAAATAAGTGTATAATTAATTATACTGGAAGAAGAAAAAGGAAAAAGTTTTGTTTTTATAAAAATTTATGTCAAAAACAAATTTATGATGAAATTTATTATAATAATATTTCAACCCAACATAAAAGCCATACTTTCAATTTTTTTCACTTAAAATGCCTTTAGGAGTAGTAAACTTAATTTTAATTAAAACTTCATTCAAAATCACTGTTAATTACCGTCACATGGGCACCTAACCTTACATTTAATTAAATGTATGTTTGGATTCTTAGATCTATGTTTCAAATGTGAAAAATAGAAATTAGGTTTCAACTTGAATGTGAATCACACATTAATGTTTGCGTTTAATTTGATCCGACTCCAAACCAAGCATTAAGAGTTTTAAATGTTAAATATTACCATAAATCTAAAAATGTGATTTATTATAAATTAAATTATATACAATAAATATGCACAAACTAAAATACTATTAAGATAATTATTTTAGTTCTAAAAATTGTAATGTGATGTTAATTTAATCCCTTAAATTATTAAACTGGTTCTTAAAATTGCAATCCATTAATCAAATTAATCTATCTGTTATCTAATATTCACCAATTATATCTGAAGCTTGATTTAAGAGTTCAAGAAAGCCTTGCCACTTGAATTTTAAATGACTTATATAGAGCTCAAGATATATATTATTTTGCTTAAGAGGTGAAGTAATTACAAAAAATGCGTCTTAGTTTAAAGAAAGCTATGCAATGGAAATTTTGAAGAAATCTAAATGTTTTTGTAATCCAAGTTGGAAGATACAAGATTTTATAGAAATATTTGTAAAGCTTCAATTATATGAATCCTTTTTTTTTAATGCTCAGTTTTGAAGTGTGATGTCATGATAGATACTATATTATTATTTTGTAGATTCATTACGAAGAACCAAGTTCATTTTTATAATGCAGTTGAAAGTCAAAAGTATGATATGTCTTAAACTATAAAAAACTATCAACTGCTAAACTTTAAGTTTACATTAAGTTAACTTATATCAAACTCTATTAATGGGGAAATGGCATATATTTTTAATTAACCTTAAACCAGCTATTGATTAACATAATCTAATTCTTCATTTGATTGAAAGGATAGACAACAAGCTTTAAACTAGGTCTTCACCTCCAAATCTTGGAGTCTTTTTTTGCTTATTCTGTACAGTCACCAAACATTCACTTTGTCTTTCAATAAATATTATTTATTTAGTTTATAAGCATTAAAAAGATTTCAATTCAAGGTATTGTAATAGCAATTAGATTTTATATAAATATATGAAAATTCTTCAAATAAAATCTATCATAATCTTATTTGTGAGAGTAAAGCTACAGCTACATGCATGCACTACACTAAAAGGGTGCATGGCCCCATCCGAATTTAATTTTACCCAATCCAACATGATAACTTCGGAGATATAAGAGAATTTGAGCTGCAATTTTGAACCAAACGGTGGAAGAATTTGGCTTGGCATTGTTGAAGATGGTCTTGTTTCTTTGCTCAAACCAAGCCCAATTTGATAGGAATCAACCACTGATCCTTTGGGGTGTCCAAAAAATCAGATAAAAAATAGTCATTCATGCTTGTTGAGCGAAGACACAATCATGGCATCAAGCTTTCCACATAACAATTACAATGAGAAGTCACGATCATGGAATCAAGCTTTGAATAAAGCAATGGCAAAGAGGGGAAAATTCGCATCAGTGGATGGCCCTTCAAATAAGGGGTCAGGGGTTGTTATCTAATCTAAACTATAAAATCTATCACCTGCTTTAACTTTAAATTTATTTTATATTAATTTATATCCAATTCTGCAGTCATATATATATATTTGGGAAATGACCAATGTGACAGTGTAATACACTCTTGTTTGCTTTTAACTAATTAGTCATTGACTTAGAGAAAATCTAATTCGTCATTTGCTGAGAGAGGATGGACGACGAGTTTACACGCATTGTTCATGACCAAATTTTGGAGTCCTTTAGCCAATTCTGTACAGGGCCACAAGACCTGCACTTCCCGCAAGGTACTCAAAGACCAAACTTCTTTTGGAAGCTGAGTCAAGGATTTGCAGCTTCTGACCACCAAACGACGAACACGTGGCATTGAACCTCTCTCTACTCTCCACATTTTGACCTTGATTGCTACCATCTCAAACACTTGAAGCTGAAGGAACCCTCCCGTGGCACAATGCAGATCAAATCTAGTATCATTTGTCTGCGATGACAATTTCAGAACTTGAAGGTTGGGAAGCTTTCCCAGCGTATGCATGGCAGTGGAGTTGAAGAAACCAAACTTTGTGAGGGATATATTGGTGATGTTTGACGGAAACACATTCGCATTTTGCGGAATCTCCGTGGTGCCAATCACTTTCAGCTTCCGGAGATGGCTCAGGCGATGGAGGCTCTGTAACTGTATACGAGCGTTGCACTTGTCACGTCTTTCGTAATGTATACCCAATTTTGTCAACCGTGGGAATCTACGACTATCCAACAACGATGCCGTGCGTGGATCAAGAGCCACGGTTGAGAGGGTTTGAAGATTGGGCATGGTTTTACTCTCTGAGGGCATGTCTGGGAGCCCCACAGGTCCAAACATCAGAAGATGCCTCAGTTGCTTAAGTTGCCACAATTCACCAGAAAAGGATTTTATGGGCGAACCTCTTAAATCCAAGGTTTCTAGATTCCACAATCTGCATATAGAAGCTGGAATAGTTTCAAGGTTATAAGAATGTATTCTCAAGTACCTTAAATGGATGAGTTTCTCCAAATCAGTAGGTATTGAGTTAACATTCATTCGTCCTAAATCCAGCACGCGAGCCAACCTGAAGCTCTTGAGAAGCCATCTCCAGTGGTTTGGCTTAACCTTGTACACCTCTTGCCCAAAGCATAACAAGGAACGCGTCCCCGAGATGGTGTAATCAGATACGGAGCTTGAAGAGAAATGAAACAGAGTGCCCTGGAGAGACAACTTACGGGGAAAACCATTGAGGGTTTGAGAATCAATCTCTCCACAAACCTCGAAAAACTTGTCTTCCCTGCTCTCGGATATGCAAAGGTCGCGAAGAAGATCGTGAATGCGACATGTTTTGACTCCCCCATCATTGCTTCTGCTTATCACTTGTATCAAGCTTCGATCCACTAGTTCATCCAAGTACACTTCCGCAATGTATTCTGGCTCTGGTATGTCTTGGCTTCCAGAAGTTTCTTGTATTAATAACCCTTCAGATATCCACAACTGGATCAATTGCTTCACGGGGATCCTATAATCTTCAGGGTACATGCCAAAATATAGAAAGCAAGGCTTTAACCTCGCAGGCAAGGAGTCATAGCTGAGTTTCAGTATATCCTTCAGTGTGTTGTCCCTCCCAAGATGCCAATTGACATGGTCCTTGATTCTGGACCAATCCCTCGGCGACTTCTTGTTAGCCAAAATTCCTGCCATGACAATAATGGCAAGTGGCAACCCATCACAGCTTTCAGCAATCAATTTTCCCAGGGACTCAAGTTCAGAAGGACACTCTTCTCCCCTAAACACCTTCTTCGAAAGAAGCTCCCAACTTTCTTCTTTGGTGAGGAAGGGAAGAGTATAGGGAGAGATTGGACCTGCGTGAGAAGCCACCTCAGCCCAACGAGTAGTCATCAATATTCTGCTTCCATTATGGTCATCGGGAAATGCCCCTTTAACCTCATTCCACACTTGGTTCTGCCAAACATCGTCCACCACCACCATGTAATTGCTTCTGCTTAAGCATTCTCGCACCTTCATCTTCAGCTCTTCATCACTTATACTCGTCTCTTCTCTTTTCTTGAACAAACTGTTGTACTTGGACGTGGACAGCAAACACTTGAGAAGACTTAAGAAAAACTCCCTAGGTCGATAATCATTAGAGACATAACCCCACGCGCGACAAGGAAACATGTTCTTGACTCGGTTAGAGTTATATATTTTTCGAGCAAGTGTGGTTTTTCCCAAACCGCCCATACCAATGATTGAAACAACTTTAAGGCGTGAATCCGATACCATGAGTTTCTCAATCACTACTTTTGAGTCGTGCACAAACCCTACCACCTCTTCTTCCTCCACCTCCCTTCTCTGCTTCCGAATCCGCTCAGCTTCCTCTTCGCCGCCCCTCTTTCCACCTTCGATGCCGTATCTTTCTTTGTTGTCGAAGATCTCGTTGATTCTGGCCTTGATCCTATCGATCTTGACAGCCACCTGGTGAAGCATGAGCGCGTGGTCGACGCCGCGGACAACGACTTTCCCGATCATGTTCCTGCGGCGTTGTTTGATGATGTCGGCGACGTAGGTGTCGATGATGTCCTCGGCTTCGTGAGCGACGTCTCTGATCTGGTTGACGAGTTCTGCGACCATGTCATGCTCTTTGCGCTTCCCTTGGGAGTTCCTGAGGAAGAGGTTCATGAA